GAAATTAGCACTTGATGTATAACATTGCTAATGGAAAAATAAAATAGCATGACTTCTTTAGAAAATAGTTTTGTGCTATAAAACTTAAAACGCTTGTATCCAACAATACCAGTTCAAGGGATTTATCCTAGACAGAATCACAGATGATATATGTACGAGAATATTTGTTTTTTCCCACATGGTTGTAGTATTTCCAAGTTCTAGATAGTCCAAATCTATGCCCAAATTTGTTTTCCAGTCTTTTTCACGAATTCAGCCATTCTAGTGGGTATTCTATGGTATCTTATTATGGTTTTAATTTGTATTTCTGGTAACCGATGTTGGATATCTTTCCATGCGCTTATTAGATAGTCATGTATCTTTGGCAAAGTGTTTGTCTTTTGCCTTTTTTTAAAATTGGATTGTTGATTATTATCGAATTGTTAAATTCTTTACATGTTTTGGATACAAATCTGTTTTCTCTTATATGTTTTGTTAATATTTTCATCCAGTCTTTCTTTGGCTTATTCTCCTAATCATTTTTTGAAGACATTATGTTATTTTGATGAAGTCCAGTTCATCTTTTTTTTTTTTTTTATGGTTAATGCTTTTTGTGTACTAAGAAATCTTTGTATACACCAAGAAAATTTACTCCTTTTTTCCCTCCAGAAGTTTTGTATCTTTAGCTTTTTATATTTAGCCTTTTTAACCCCCATCAGATTTTCGGAATGATCTATAACTGAAAAGAGGGAGGGGGGCAAGATTTAGAACCACCGATTTAGACTGCTGTGTAGTTAGTTGTTCAGATTTGTTAATAATATGGACAGCTTCACACAATTCTCTCTCCCCCATTACAGCAGTTTCTGAATTAATGGAGAAAATGACATTGCTTTTGATAAGATGATGTCAGTGGAACACCTGGCTTTATTATACTTCCAGTGTAAATTGTTAATTTAAATAATCCCGTGTTATGAATTTTAATGATAGGTGAGTCTGTGGACCACCTGGAGCTGCCCCCGGCAGTGACCTTCATTGCTCTCGGGCAGTCAGGCATCAGCAATTCCGTCAATACTCCAGAAAATCAGAGTTCTAGGCCTGGCTTCTGGTCTTCATCCTGTCACGGTTTCACTCTCAGCCGCAGGCCTTCTCATTTCATCTAGAATAAAGTCCAAAACATGACATTTGAGGCTCCACAGAATCTGATTCCAACTCGCCTTTCCATTTCCGCAGTGCCCTGCTATTTCCTGTTCCGCGTAGTTGTGCTAGGCCCAGCCCTGTGTTTTTTTTCATGCTGTAACCCTCATCTAGATTGTTCTCATTTCTTTTCGTCCTGCCTTAGACTTGGTCCAGTCAGTCTGTAAAGTTCTCCAATAAAACTCCACATCCTCCCTGAACTCTCTGCCAGCCTCACAAGCAAGAATTAATTTGAGTACATTTTACTTAGTATCTTCATTCGCTTACGGACTTCTGAACGCTTTGAACACTGGGAGGACATGTGCTCATTTTATATCCGAGTGATGCTTCACGTAGCTGCTGGCACAGAGCAGGCTGGTTATAGAGTGCCTCTCTCATGGAAAGCTCTAGAACAGCGCGAAGCCCTTCAGCAGCAGTATTTTTTGTCGTGGGTTTTGCACTAGATAGTGGTTTTCAGACTTTAAGGTTGAAGTCCATTTGCCGTTTGTGAAAGCAGTTTTGGTGGTTTAAGAGCATCATTTAAAAAAAAAATGGAATAAAGTAGAATAGAAAATAAAGGGTTATATAACGGGTAAGCATTCGGTAGTAAATGTTTGTTTCTGGTTTACGTTTTCATGTATGTTTACTAGGTTATGATATACTGTGTTTTAGTAAAAAAATTGAAAAACTATGTTAGATTTTAACCTCTATAATGAATTTTGAATTATAAAATTTAGAGAAAAGTCATTTTGAATTTTATCTAACTTGGATATTTCTGAAAATTTTCACTAAATGATTTCACATAATTTGTATCATCTTTTGTTAGTTGTCTACTGAATTACCCTTAGGTGAATGATTTTTTTCTTCAGCATCTATTGTATAATTTTGTTTTAGATTTGGGGCGCATAATTGGCTTATAAATATATAAATCATTTCTTTCCTAAAACAGAACGAAGAAACTTTAGAGAGTTATTATCAGATGGTTCTCTGAAATTTCTGTAATATTTTTTAAACTTCTCTTTATTTACATTTATTAGTATAGATTGCTCATGGAAGTATGTTGACAAGATAGTACTTTTTAATATATTAGAATGGAATGAATATTATCTATTGAGTCTGCAAATTTAAAAAATTGTGACTAAGAGTCGTGAAGTTTCATTTTGGAAAATCAGTTCACTTGATGTATGTATATTCTAATGCTCTCATATGTGGAAAGAAATTCTCCTCTGTTATTAACTAGCATTTAAAAGACAACTTGATTTCGAATGTGGGTATTCTGGGCAGTCAACTCAGCAAGAATCACATGTTAAATATTTCTTCTAAAAGAGAGTAGAAACTCATATCTTCCAGATCAACACAGGCATCCCAGATGGTGATGTGTTACTTTGGAAGAGCTTTTGAATCAAATGTGCATTCTTGAGATGGGAAAGTAGTTGCTAATAGAGTCATTTGGTATTTATAGGAAAACTGTTTTCTGGTTAACTTCATTTAAATTTGTGATTAAAACCTTTCCTGGAGCTCAGGAGCCTTGTAACTAGGAAGGTCCTATGTAGGTAATGCTTGTGCCTTTTTTCTTCACGTCTCTTTAGGGTCATTACAGGCCTTCCGATTTGCTGTGTCCTGAGACGTATGTCTGGGTGCCCATCGAGCAGTGCCTGCCTTCTCTCGAGAACTCCAAGTACTGCCGCTTCAACCAGGACCCGGAAGCAGGTACGTTTGGAGCGGAGCTTGGCCGGAAGTCGTTGCCTTTGTTTTTAGAATTCATGTGGCTGTGGCTCCCGACATGGTCCAGGAAACTTTTTAAGTATTGGGGAAGGGAGAGAGAGAGAGCAAGAGAGAGAGAGAAAAGGGACCACATGCACACAACACAGTTTTGCAAATAAATGCAGAAACCTCATTTCTGCATTTTGAATTTTATCTAACTTTGATATTTCTGCAAATTTTCACTAAATGATTTCATGTAATTTGTACCATCCTTTATTAGTTGTGTTTGTGCTACTTACTGATCAAGCTTCTCTCACTAGACTAGTTTTTACATCATTCTTTGAGGGCTGACACTATTATCCATTACTTTTAGAGCCGTCGCAGTACATAAAAATTGTTCACTAGATTCTTTAGCCAATAAGATAGAAATGTTGACCAGTTGGACTAAGTTAGTTGTAAAGTGATTTCAGGGGTTGAGTTTTGTGACAGTACTTTCTGGTCATTTCCCTTTGGATACAATGTGCACTAGCTGTCTGTACAGACACTAAAGCACAGCTCAGAATTAGACTTCCTCCATTTTGATCCTGGCTCCATCATCAGCTGGTAAACTGTGTGCCCTTCGGCATTTTAATAATCTCCCTGGCCTCAGGTTCTTGGCTTTCAAGATTAAAATAATAATAGAACCTACCATATTGAGCCGTAATGAGGATTGAAATAAGATGAACATGCTGAGATTAAACCCCCTATTATTGTGTTGGTGATTGTTACACAAATTAGGATGCTACATCCCCATGTATGCCACAGGCTTTCGTTGGCATTCGTCTTCATTTGCTCTCATACCTCTCTCTAAACAAATGTGCAGCTCCGTTCACCTCCCTTGGCCTGGGTACCACTGGCAGTATACAGAAGCCCTCCTCCGCACACATAGCCTTCGGCATCCTCACTGCTCCACTGCGGCTTTGTCAGTCAGGCGAGGGCTGTGATGCTCCCCGTGCTCTTGGGACGGTTGCGTTAAGCTGCCTTCCCCTGGGTGCTCTGATGTGGGCCTCGCTGACCTCTGAGTCCTCACCAGGAGACGCCGACGCACACTTCTTAAGATACGAACCTTTTCCTACTAGCCACCTGCAGTCTGAGTTTGGCGAAAAAGAAGGAAAGAGAGCTGCAAAGGCTGGGGGAGGGGGAGGGACGGAGTAAATGGAAAAATCAAATTGGAAGACAAAGGAGGGGGCAGGAAAGAAATGCAGTAATTTCTTCTGTTCTAAGATGTCCCTCCTCCCAACCCCCCATAAATCAACATTTTTTTCTTATATAAAAATTTGGTTCACGTACCATCGTACTTTGTAACCTTCAGCTGTTACGAAATCAAGAGCGGGCACTTCTCACACATTATACCTTAGAATCTGATGACGAGTGGCCGTAGGGGCCCAGCCGACTCATGCGCCAGGCTCTCTGAGAATTTCTAGATATTTAGGTTTCATAGAACAACTGGGGAATTGTAGTTCCCACACCTTAAATTATTAATCAGAATCTCATCATTTTGTTCTAAGTGAGGTTACACCTCATTGATCAAACAAGTTGCTTAAAACAAACATATTGAATTTGACAATTGGTTTTGGAGTCAGGTTCAAAGCCAGAGGAAATAGTAATTTAGAGGAAAGCATATGCTTACTCATCCTCTCCTCAAAAGATATTTCTCCTTTTAGCTTTTCTCAAGCTCAGGTCAGAACTAGTGCCTTATGCTGAGAACTTTGAATATCTTACTGCATTATTTCATGTCACATATAAAAATTTATCCTTGTAAGTTCCTTCCAACTGAATAATACTATAATCTAAATTGGTTTCTGACTCTCAGACTCAGACATAATTTCATCTTCCCTTTTTCTTGTTCTATTTTAAAGGTCGCTTCTCTTTTTAAGTAACACTTGGATGTTAATGCAGTCGCAGGCTCTCTCTGTTTTATAAAATTGAAAAGGTATCTGAGTAATTTCCATGCATTGAATGGACATTCAAGTAAAGATTCGTTCATGTTAATAGATTTTTAATTTATTTCCCAAAGTAAGAACTATTAAGCATCTCATGGCAAAGAAAATTTAAAGCCTCATATTGACTGTTTTTTGTCAAGTGTGTATTATACCCAGTGAGTGATGAATACATAGCATGTTCTTTTCCTGTAACCTACTAAGTTACATTTCTTATGGTAGTACTTTTAGCTCTTAATTTTCATGGTTTAGAAATCATTTACAAAAATCAAAGGGGTAAATTTCTTTGAAAATAGTACTTCGAAGTGTTAAAAACAAAATTCAACTGAGTAAATTTTAAAGATTTTACTGGCTTTATTTAACGATTCATGAATCGGGCAGCATCCCATCTAGCAAGCGGAAAGGAACTCTGAAGAGC